CCCCCTGAGCCATCTCATTGGCCCCATATCTTTTTTTATAAAAACGTCTTCATATTGGAGAGCAATCCACTCGCATGACCTCGGCTTAACTAGACTACCCTAGTAAAATCTGTTTTCAAAAAAGGTGACATTCTGAGGTAACTGGGTGTTGACTTCGGCATATCATTTGCTGAGCTGATGGGGGTTAGAACTCCAGCACGTCTTTTCAAGCATGACAGTTCCAATCCTTCCCAGGTGTGGAGTACTCACTCTCTCCAAAGCCACGTCCACTCTAAATCCAGAATCTCATCTACTCATCCTCAACTCAGGGACCCAACCTTCTCATCTCCAGAGCCAGCTTGAAGGGGCATCGCTCAGTGAAAATAAAGAGGGAAATGTGCCCGTCTCCCAGTTCCCCAGGCAGGAGTGGGGCCCTTTGTGCATTCTAGCGCCAAATTGAGGGCGACTCCTTGAACCTGGAATTTCAGAGGTAAGTTTTTTTTTTATTTGTTTTCTTTTTTTTACCTCCTCCCCAAAAGCTCTCTCTCACCCACAGCTGTTTTCATTCCTGCTTGTGAAGATTTAGGATCAGGCACTCTCAAAGGCACAGGAAGGTGCAGACAGCTCCTTTCTGGCCTGTCACATGGCTGAACTAGTTGGGGAAGGGGCTGATTTTGGAAGTAGTTCACCCTGGATTTGGGCAGGACTCATGTATAGGGAGAGAGGGAGGGAGGGCAGAGGACAGGTGAGACACACCTCCAAAGGGACAGTCCTAGGCTGATGGCCAGGACTAGAACCAGCGCTTCTCCAGAACACCCAGGTTATGCAGGGAAAATAGGACCTTGAACAAAGAAAAAGCCACATGACTGTACTCTGCCACCATGATGCTTAGGTAACAAGGTATCCCGTCTCTTCACTTAGGCCTTCCTTGTCTGCCTTAATAGCCACATAAACATGAACAGCCAGATTTTAGTCATGTTTGACAGCCAATGGCAGATCAGTGACGGAGGTTGAGAACGACAGCTACCCCTCACCATCATCATCACCATCTCTCCCTGGGATGGCAAGCATCTTGTGAAGCTCCTTAGTATGCAAATTGTTTGTAAAAAATTAACCTCATAGGGACTGGAGAGATGGCTCAGTGGTTAAGAGCACCAGCTCCTTTTCCAAAGAACTGGGGTTCTATTCCCAGCACTCACATGGCAGCTCACAACCATCTGTAACTCCAGTTCCAGAGACTCCAATGCCCTCTTCTGCCTTCCAAGTGCCCCAAGCACACAAGCGGTGCCCACAAACGGGGGCAAGACATCTATCCACATACGCATAAAGGAAAACAATTTTTAAAATGAACTCCATGACCTGGGGAAATGGCTCAGGGCTTACGAGTACTCATTGCTTTTGCAGAGGACCCAGATTCAGTTCTCAGCAGCCAGGTGGTGGATAACAATTATCCATAACTCTAGTTCCAGGGGAGCTGACACTTCCATCTGATTTCCACAGGTACCAGGCATATACATATATCCAGGGAAAGCATTCATACATATAGAATAAAATCAATAAATCTTAAAAAGATAGTTAACTTCACAATACAGCATAATGCTATATTTCTCTCTGTGTGTGTCCATGTGTGTGGACAGAAAGAGAGAGACAGACAGACAATGAATTGAACCTAGGGCCATATTTGTCAAGCAAGCGCACCCTACCACACTGAGCTACACACCTTAATTATGTGTGTGAGGGAACAGGTCATTTTTCTCTTTTCACTTTGCAAGTTTCACTCTGCTGATGTGTTTTGCTTGATGATTAAGTTCCTCAGGAACAAATATAGAAAGGACATCCCCCCTCCCCCACGCATTCACAGTTCAAAGCAATTTTATTAAATTCTGTATCATCATTCATCCATTCATTTCTCCACTCACTGGAGTGAAATGTGTCTATGCAGGGCTTTGTGTGTGCTGAGGACTGTGGCGGGAGTTAGGGAGGGGCTACAGGCAAGACAGATTTGGGTTCTAGCTGGAGTGTATTCTCCAGTGGAGAGAGTAGTGCTGGCCAAACAGAACCTTGAAACATGAAAAGAAAAGTCCGAGGAGAGCTGAGAGGGTGCTCTCAGGCTGAGTTATCTTTGAAGTCTGGAGAAATAGGAGGTAATGGGCAGGGAAGGGTACAGGGAACTTTCCAGGTAGTAGAAACAATATTCCCAGGGGCCAGAGGCTGGGAGGCACATACTGTAGAGCCTTTCAAAGGAAAGAAAGAATCCGGTGTGGCTGTCATGCCAACAGCAAGTGACCAAAGGTGTTGAAAGAGTAAGGATGTATCAGGATGGGTGGCCCTTCTAGGGCCTGAGAATTTGCTCAGAAGTGAGTCTAAGCAGGAGGGTGACAGAATTTGACTCAGGAAGAATTCACTCTGACTACCTTTTGGGGGACCACTGACAGGAAGCACGCATCAGTGTGGAAACCCCAGTTGGGAGGTGGGTGAAAAAACCCTGAGAAATGGAGTGGTCTGAGGTGGAGAGGTGAACTTTTCAGTCAGCCAGCTGTGCACCTGCACTGGCCCTTCAGAAATGGAAGGGCCATGTGGGTCGTCTGGATGGAAGTGCACATGTGTCAAGACAGGTATTGCCCGGAGGAACCTCTTTGACTGACAGATTCCCAGAATGGGAAAGGATATTCGTAGCATCCCCCAGGCCTGAATATGTTCTTCACCGCTCCCTGCCAAAGGGATCCCTGAAGGAGGCTTCCTTCCTCTTTGTGGGGAGCCCCAGTCCGCCTCTCCTTGAAGACCTCACCTGGAAGTTTAGGTTCTACCTCATGAAGTGAGAGACAGATCGTCTACAGGACTCCCTCTCCTCACACCATTCCACACGCAAAGTGATTTGGTTTGCTGGTTCCTTTACTGCAAGCTGTGGGCATTGTTCTAGATGGGCCAAGCTACTTAAGACCGTAGCTGAAATTCTAGTCCTAAAACGCTGTAACTGTCTTCCAAGATCATACAACTACCCCCACATCCACATGGCTTTGTGTGCATGGGTTTATGTACACGTTCACGTGGGTACACGCACATGTGTGCAGGTGCTCATGCAGGTATGTGTGCACAGATTAGAAGGCACCTTTAGGTGTCTTCCTCAATTACTCTGTGTGTGTGTGTGTTAGTGTTGTGTAAGCATCTGTGTATGCATGAAGTCCAGAGGAGGATGTCAAGTACCCTGCTTTATCATTCTTTACCTGCTTGAGACAGGGACGCTCACTGAAGCCGGAGCTAAGCTTGTGGCCAGAGAGCCCCAGAGAGCTTCCCATCTCTGCCCCATGGGTGCCATGACTGAGTTTTTATGTGGGTGCTGAGAATTTATACTCAGAGCTCATGCTTGAACAGCAAGCTCTCCTTACCCACAGAGCCATTCCCCTAACCTTTCTCCACAGTATTCTTTGAGACAGAGGCTTTCCCTGAACCTGGAACACATCCGTTTGCCTTGGTTGGCTGGCCAACGAGCTCCCGGCACTGGGGTTCCAGATGGGTGCCACCATATCTGGCTCTTAATACGGGTTCCAGGGATCAGAAGGCAAACCTCCATGCTTGCTTGCTTGGCAGGAGCTTCGCTGTCTGAATCATCTCTTCAGCCCGCCCTGCAGCTTTTTATACTGATGTCACTACTGAACTGGTTTCTATCCCCCTCCCCCCCCACCTTATCTGATGCCAGTGATGTTGGCAGCTCAGGTAAATGTTACCTCATCCACTGAATTCCCTTTCTCCACCTTTAAAATCTCCCACCAGTATCATTTGATACGTCTAGGACCATTACGACTAAAATCATCCCTAACACCTCTTGGCATCTTACTAATTTGGGTCTCAGCACAAGCGTGGGGAGGGGCAGAGTTAGTAGCAGGACCTGGATGAGAGAATTGTTCCCATCTGTTCTTGCAAACAGTGAGAGGGAAGGCCAAATCATTTCAATTGATAGCCTGTGGACCCTGGCACATTTGAATAATTTAGTTCTTTCTTTGATGTCACTGGTAAACAGCCCCCTCTCCAGCACTTCAAGATGTCAACATGGCCTTTCCAAGCTTAACCTTCTGGCCACTGTCAGACACATGCTATCTCCTCAGTCAGGTCCGGGCTGAACAGTTGAACTCTGTCCCTGATCCAGCTCAAGAAACGAAATATGAAACACAGGCAATCTCATCTATCCCAGCAGCCGGGTCTGGTTCAGTGTGGTTCTCACCAGAGCTTTCAACCGCACCAAAAACCGGAAAAAAAAACAAAAAACCCTAGCATACGCCGAGGGGACACATCATCCATCCGTCATGCGTGTCCCACAAACACCGAGGAGGCTTGTAGCTAGGTTACAAGAGGACAGAGGGAGGGAATCCCTGGAAGATGAGGTTTAAAGAGATTTTACTTAAATGCAGAGATAAGCGATAGAAAAATTCTAGATGCCAACCTCAGGTTATCAAAGCACAACGTTTTTAATGCACTAAAGGCCTCCACAGGTGGGGTTTGTGCAGGTAAGCGCGGCCTCGCAGCTCTGTGGACAGTAGAATAGTTTATAAAAGAGTCGTTAAGACTCATACAGAAGCAACACCATCTCAGCAAAGTGAAGCCAGGTGGGAGAAGGGGAACATGACGTGTGAGTGGAGGGCAAGGGAGAGCCTGGGATGGGGCGCACGATCCTCCCTCCTATGTTCTTTTCTGCCAAAGGTTTGCCGACTTGTTTCAACCTGGCACCCGCGTGGCCCGGAACAAAAGCGCTCGGCCGGGCCTGCGCGTGGGAAGAAGGGCCACGCAGCACCTCGCAGGGTGCAAGAGGCCAGCAGTCAGCAGCTGCTCACAGAAAGGGACGCACCGGGATAGGATTGGGAGAGGCAGGATTCGTGCCACAGCTGTCCCCATCCAGCCCGGCTCACATCTGGCGCGAGCCCTGGCGTCCTAAAGCGCTCTCAGGGTAGGGGTGACTGAGGTTCAATCTCAGGAACCCAGCTGGTGGGTCACACTCCAAGGGAGGGCGCGGCACCGTGTCACTTTACCTGAGCGCAGAGGGTCATCCGGAGACGCCATGAGAGGAGGAGACCGCGAGAGGACAGCAGGGATGGGCAGCGTCTGGTACCCCAGAGAACAGCAGGATTGCCGGAGACCCAACCTCCTGCCGTGGCAATGCGCGACTCTCCGGCTCTGCGCTCTGCCCCGCTGCTCCTCCTCCTCCTCCTTTTCTCCTCCTCTTGATCTCTCTGCCACTTCTTCCCCGTGCTCACTTCCTGCAATTAGCAAAGCCCCTTCCCGGCGTGAGCGTCTCTCCAAAAGTAAGGAGAGGATTCCGTAAGTTGCGGTTGCACATGAGAGGACCTGCCAGGGGGGCCCCCCCAGAACACGTGTCCTGCCAGTACCTAGGACCTAGTACGCAGGTCCCACCACGGGGGTCCCACGCGATCGCAGCTGGGAGGGCCTTTCAGCCAGCTTTGTACCGGCTGCCGCACGCGGGTGGCTTTCCTGATCCCTAATCTCTCCCTCAGCTGGGACACCAAAGCGCTCCCAGCGTGCTCCTTGCACAGGCCCGGGCTGAGACGCCTGCCGGCGATCTGATGTTTGAACAGTTTCCTAATCTTCAGGCAGCCTGAACGGCTGCATGACCGCACACGCTAGCACTTTCTATTTTGATGTTTCTTTGGCATTAGTTACTGCCTGACCTCCTGGCTGAGCACTGCACAAAGGAGCAGGAAGAAAAGCCAGTCACAAGGTCTCTTGCACACTCCTCCAGAAATGCGGGGGAGGGGGGAAATACAGTGGAGGGTTCTGTCAGAAATGCAGAACCCGTTGGTCCATAAACGAATTAAGGTTTAGTTTAAATGGGATTTTATGCTAATTAAGCGATCAGATAATAAGTGCGTTTAAAATGGATATTTTTATTTTATTTGAAAACTTTTAAAAATATTTCTATTATTTTAAAATCATATGTGGGGTGGGTTATGGACACATGAATGCAGTGCCTACAGAGTCCAGAATAGGGCGTTGGGTTCCCTAGAGCTGGAGTTGTGGGTGTTTGTGGCCATGCTAGGAACTGAACTTGGGTCCTTTGCAAAAGCAGTAGCACTCTGAATGCTAAGCCACGTTTCCAGCTCTAATGGCTGAATTTTCATTCACTGTATGCCATATACAAAAGGTCACAGACAACTTAACTTTAATAGGTATCTCTGAAAGGTCTCACATAATCTGTATCTGACCTTGGACATAAGCATAGAACTATAAAAAGGGCGTTTAAAGGAGATGGCAGCCAGGGATGTCGGCCAGAGACGGAGCCCCTGGCATGCATGGGCTCCAGCCTGATAGCATTTGCCAGTAATCCCAGCAACACAAGAGACTGAGGCAGGAGAATGAGACCAGCCTGAAATTTATGGTGTGATAAATTTTATAAGAAAGAAAGAAAGAAAGAAAGAAAGAAAGAAAGAAAGAAAGAAAGAAAAGAAAAGAAAGAAAAGACAGTATTTACTTAACAATTTTACTAACAAATTACCCAATCCAGACTGAAAACTCAAAATTGTCAGGGAAACAGCAAATGCCTACCTACCTTCGTGGTGACTCCCAGGTTGCTCTGTGGTCCTGAGGCTCATGGCCCTCTTGGGTTTCATTTTTATTCCTCATGATGCCATGGAAAAAGCAGGTTTCAGGGAGGGGGACACAATGGCTCATGTGTAGAAAGAGAAATTATTTTAGAAAGGCTATTTTCTCAGGGAGCCTATTTTGAGGTTTGGTCTGTGGTTCCTGCTGTACTCCACATTGAAATGGGATGCATTTCTGAGGTTTGGTTGTTAGAAACCACATATCAAGTTGGGCCATCTTGTCAGCACAAGTTCAAGTGGTTTGTTTTTCAAAAGGAAATTGTGAATGAGTCTTCTTATGACACCTGTCCTTCCACTAAATAGAAAATGATTCCAGAATTCCGCCTTGTCTTTTTCTCTTTCTATGTGTGTGCACACGGGTGAGCTTGTGCAATGGGAGCAAATGTAGAGGGCAGAAGGTAACGTGCCCAAATCAGTTCTCTCCTTCTGTGGGTCATGGAGACCAAACTCAGGTTATCAGGCTGGGAAGCAAGTCCCTTCCTTTACCCGCTTAGCCTCACTGTTCTGTCTCTCTTCATCTCTTCTTTCTCTCTCTTCTTCTTCTTTCTCCCACTCCTCCCTCCTTCTCCTTTTCTAATCATCATCATCATCATCATCACCATCATTTCTCTTCCTCCTTTGAGATGGTCTCACTCTGTTAGACTAAGCTAGCCTCAAACTCATGACAATCTTCCCAAATGTCTCAGCCTCATGAGTGCTGGGATTATAATGACCTTTCACATCTGACTAAGGAAAAAAAAATTTTTTTAACCTTTATGTTTTTATGTGTGGGGAAAGTGTTTGTCTGCATGCTCATCTTTGCACAATATGTGTGTAGTACCTTCAGAGGCCAGAAGACGGCGTCTTATTCTCCTGGTACTGGAGTTAACAGTCGTGAGCTACCACGTGGGTGCTAGGACTCAAACCCAGTCTTGCAGAAGAGCAGCCAGTGCTCTTAACTGCGGAGACATCTCTCCAGCCCAAGGTCATTTTTTTTTTCTTTTTGTTTTTTTGAGACAGGGTTTCTCCATGTAGCCCTGGCTGTCCTAGAACTTGCATTGTAGACCAGGCTGGCCTTCAACTCAGAGATCCACCTGCCTCTGCCTCCCAAGTGCTAGGATTAAAAGTATGCCTCATCACCACCCAGCTCAAGGTTTTCTCTTGTTGTTGTTTTTTTCTAAGAAAAACCCAGTATTTTGGTGTGGTTCTTTGTCTCCTTTCTTATAAACTATAGCTGCTGCCATCATCCTCTGTTCTTCCGCACATGTTTTGTGATCACTAAAGTATAACAGAAAATAGGATCTACTGTTTTTCAGTGTGCAAATAGCAGTTAATAGTATTTCTCATCCTCTGACATTTCCATGCAATCTGCTTACTGTCATATTAGACTTCTCAGTGTCTGCTTCTGTTGCTCCCAGCGAGTGTCATACTTGGTAGTGGTGGTCACATGACCCGTTCAAAAGTATTTTTTTAAGATGTGCTTTTATTTGTAAAGTATGTGTATAGGTGTGGGTATGTGGGTGTGAGTGCAGGTGGCCACAAATGCCAAAGGAGATGTCTGATTCCTCCTCCTCCTCCTCCTCCTCCTCCTCCTCTTCTTCTTCTTTTCAAGACATCATTATTCTGTGTATCCCTGGCCGTCCTGGAACTCACTTTGTAAACCAGGCTGGCCTCACACTCAAAGATTCATCTGCCTCTGCCTCCCCCCACTTTCAACCCCCTATCACTAAAGAGAAATAGAGAGCTAGAGATCCTTGAATCTAATTTCTTTCTTTTTGTTTCTTTGTTGAGCACAACTATTAAGAAACTACCAACAAACCCCAATCAACCCTCTGAAAAGTTCCCAGAATTCCAAATATCACACCATCTCAGAAACTGTCTGCAGCTGGCAATACCACTCCTCTGCTAGGGCACGAGGCAAATCACAATCAGTTACTACAGACTGTCTGAGGAAGCCCGGTATCCCCACACCTGGGATTAAAACAAACAAACAAAAAATATTCTTATAGTACATCTGTTGGTTTTTGTTTTTGTTTTTTTTTAAAGAAACCAAAATCCCAGAATTGTTACTACGGTTCTTTGTTAAGTTTGCTATTTCCCTTGCTTTCATGCTTTTTGTTTTGTTTTTGTTTTTGTATATGTGTGGTTTATTTATGTGTGTGTGGCGGGGTGGGCATTGTATGTGTCTGTTTTGTGCTTGGACATGAGAGGCCAAGAAAGATGTCAGGTTTCTTCTTCTATTGATCTTTCTCTCTTTCCTTGATCCAGCCCTCCCTTTCTTCTTCCTTCCTTTCTTTTCCTGAGAAGAGAGTCTCTCTGGAACTGAAGCTCATCATTCAACTGGCCAAGCTGGCTGGCCAGCAAGCTCCAGGACCTCCCTGTCTCCACAGGCACTTGGTGGCCTTGCCCAGCTTCTACAGGATTGCTGCAGGTTTCAATCCAGGTCCTTCTGTTTTCACAGCAAGTCTTACCCGCTGAACCATCTCTCCAGCTTGTTTTGTTTTGTTTCGGGGGTTTTGTTTGTTTGTTTGTTTACATATGAAGAAAGCGTCTCGAGTAGCCGGGGCTAGCCTTGAACTCTCTGTATAGTTGAAGATGACCTCAAGTTTCTAATTCTCCTGCCTCCACCTCCAAGATTACAGGCATGTGCCCCTAGGCCCAATGTTGTCGCTATGAAACTTTTAAATTGACCTCCACTTTTTTTAAAATTTTATTTTATTTTATTAATTACACTTTATTTACTTTGTATCCCCCCATAAGCCCCTCCCTCCTCCCCTCCCGGTCCCACCCTCTCTCCCCCTTCTTCACGAATGCCCCTCCCCAAGTCTACTGATAAGGGAGGTCCTCCTCTCCTTCCTTCTGATCTTAGTCTATCAGATCACATCCTGATAGACTAAGTGGAGTGGTGACCTCCACTTTTTAAACGACCTTTGACTTGGTCATCTCAGAATCAAACCAGCTGACTTTGCCTCTTGGGCATGAAACCACAAGAATGGAAAACAAGAGGTAGAGAGAGAAGGTAAAGGAAGATCGAGAGAAGGGAAAAACAGGAGAATAAGGAAGATGGAGGAAGAAGAAGAGTAAACCAGTGACTGTCACACAAGCAGATGGCTGTCGCACAGTACATGTTTTCCTTACAATTTAGACCACTGATTTAAAATTTAAATATAGTTACATCATTTCCCCTTACTTCCCTTTTGTACAGCCTCTCCCCTTCACGTGTCCCCACTTTGCTCCCTCCAATTATTATTGTCACATATAAATATATAAACACAACCTGCTGAGTCCTTCTAGTGTTGCTTGAATAAATGTGACTTCAGGGCTGACTACTTGGAATTTGATAATCAATTAGTGGGCTCCTCTCTGGGGAAGACTATTTTCCCCAATCTCAGCATTCTTTAGTTGTCTTTAGTTGTTTATCTAGGGGTGGGGGGCCTATGAGATTCCCCCCTTCCATGTTAGTCTGTTGGTGTTATCATTATTTAGGGCTTGATTAGGCCACCATCTTGCTGAGGTATCATAAGTGTAGCTTCTTTGTCACTTCTAGGAGATGGAGACACAGTCTCACAGCAGACTTAAGCAAATGGGACAGACATCAGAAGAGGGTGAAAACAAGGAACAAGACAGGACCCTACCACAGAGGGCCTCCGAAAGACTGCCCAGCAGGGTATTAAAGCAGATGCTGAGCTTGCTCCAAAGCCACAAATCTAATCAAGCCACATAACCTTTCCTATCTCACGCCACCCTGAAAAGCTCCCTCAGCCCCACCCCCAATAAACCCTATCTAGACCCTGTTTTTTTGCCCAGTCCTCTGCTGTTTCTCACCCAAGCAGAGGCAACCACCCTCCTGGGTTCCCCCTCCCAATAAATCTCTTGTGTGAGGTTTGTTGTTTTGTATGACTTTATGGTATTCCTTGGCTCCTGACTGCCAGGAGTCCGTT